ATGGCGGAGTTCGTTACCGTGTTTCAAAGCAAGGCGGAACAGTTAGAAGAAGCGGGCATAAAAATACCGCATGAACTACTGTCGATAATGTTGCTGAATGCATTACCGACACAATACGCCAGCTTCTGTGTTGCGATTGAATCGAGAGACGAAGTGCCCCCGATTGACGTTCTAAAAGTCAAGTTAATTGAACAGGAGGCAAGACAAAATGAACAAAAGCAGCAAGAAGAAAACGAAGATAATGCCTTGTTGTCCAAGGAGAAACCAAAACCAAAGGACCAAAATCGCACGCGAACACAGCACGCGCGCACACAACATAACCCCAAACAGACACGCTACAATCAAACGTGTTTCAAATGCAACAGAAGAGGGCACATGGCCGTGAATTGTCGAACGAATCAAACCTCAAAAGGGCGATCGACATACGGTCGAGGTGAAGCCATGCTGGCCGAAGTGGCCCTAAGTACAGAGTCGTCCAAAACCGAACAGTGGTATTTAGATAGCGGTGCGACTAAACACATGTACAACGACCGCGGAAAATTTGAACAGTTTAACAAACAATACAGTGCACAAGTGCTTACGGCGGCAAAACGTCCGCTTGAATCAAAAGGAATCGGCAATGTCAGAATGCGTGTAAGTGGGTTAGGAAATTACGTGAACGACATAAATCTGCGAAATACAATATACGTGCCTGAGTTCAGAAACAATCTAGTGTCGGTAGCCCGGATTACCGAAAGTGGTTATTCAGTGAATTTTGGACAAGATATTGCAACCGTGCGTCGTAAGAACGGTACCGTGGCTATGATAGCGAAACGCGAAGGTGATTTATATAGGTTAATTAACAAGGATAGACACGTTGCACAAGCAGCTGAATGTAGAAAAACGGATGATACATTGAAATGGCATAAGAGGTTTGGGCATTTAAATTTCGATGATCTGAAGAGACTTCAAACAGAAGATATGGTGCGTGGGTTATCGAAAACCTTGACAGATTCATTAAAAGGCTGTGAAACTTGTGCGAAAGCAAAAATACATCAAGCTTCCCACCCCCCATCAACGAGAAGAGCAAGTGAAGTGCTGGAATTAATACACTCCGACATATGCGGTCCCATGAGCCTCCCATCGCTTGGTGGAGCGAGGTATTTCATCACATTTATAGATGATAAGACCAGGTACTGTGAGGTGAGAATGTTAAAACAAAAGTCGGATGCGCTACAAGCCTTTAAAGAGTATCTGAGAAGAGTGGAACGGCAAACTGGCCATCGAGTCAAGGCACTGAGAACAGACAATGGTAAAGAATACACTTCTGGTGAATTTACTGCCTATTTGAAGTCACTAGGCATAAAACGAGAGCTGACTGTACAATACACCCCACAGCAAAATGGAGTGGCAGAGCGTGCGAACCGCACAATTGTTGAAATGGCAAGGTGCCTCATAATTGAGTCAGGCTTACCCTAAAGCCTATGGGCAGAAGCAGTCAATACTGCCGTGTTTTTGAGAAACAGGTGCCCAACAAAATCGTTAGACAAGATAACCCCATTTGAAGCTTGGATGGGAAGAAAGCCACACGTTGGTTTCTTCCGCACATTTGGAAGTGAAGCAATCACATTAATTAAAAGTCGCAGAAAGGGAAAATTCCAAGCTAAAGGGCAAAAGTGCATCATGGTGGGATACTCCCCAGAGTCGAAGGCATACAGGCTGTGGTGTCCTGGTACGAAAACGGTGATGAAGAGTTGTGATGTACGTTTTCTGGAAAACAATCAACCTGTGGTAGATGAACAAGAAGGTGAACCTGCTACAGAAAAAGAAGAAACACCACAAATTGCATTTATCCCAGAAAATATTGAAGATGAAGATGCACGTGAACGACAAGAAGAAAGTGAAACAGGGGAAACGATGGATAATGAAGAAGAAACATGAAGATGCTGTGGAAGATGTATCTACTCTAGTAAAAAGGGCTCCAGGTAGACCAAAAGTATTAAGAACAGGAAATGTGGGAAGGCCAAGAAAAGTATATCAAGAGGCAAACATAGCAGAAATAACAGAGCCTCAAACGTTTCAAGAAGCCCTTGGGAGAAACGACAAGGAATTGTGACTAGCTGCCATAAAAGATGAAATGGAGGCACTGAGGGAGAACAACACATGGGAAATTGTAACGAGACCAGATAAAAAGAAAGTGCTTACAAATAAGTGGGTGTTTAAAATTAAAAGAGATGAAAATGGCCAGATAACAAGGTATAAGGCCAGGCTTGTGGCGAGAGGCCATGAACAGAAATATGGTCTAGATTATGATGAAGTCTATGCACCGGTAGCCAGATATGAAGTCATTCGTGTGCTGTTTGGATTGGCAGTGGAAGACGACATGTACCTACATCAAATGGATGTTGTAACAGCATATATTCAAGGCAACCTCGAAAAGGAAGTGTACATGGAACAGCCAACCATGTGCAGTGAGAAAAGTGCGAGTGATAAAGTGTGCAAGCTTAAGCGGCCAATCTATGGCTTGAAACAGTCTGGTAGGACATGGTATAAGCGTTTGAATGAGTTTCTGTTGTTTATAGGGTTCAAAAACAATGAAGTGAATCCGTGCGTATACGTGTGTGAAAACCAAGGTATAAGGACAGTAATAGTGATATACGTAGACGACCTTTTGATAGCATGCGCAAATAAGAACATTTTAGAGACCATAAAACGACGACTAAGTGCAGAATTTAAAATGAAGGATATGGGTCCTAGTAGAACGGGACGGCCCTGTAGGAAAGATTAGTATAATGCAAAGGCAATACATTAACAACCTCATAAGTAGATTCAATATGAAAGATGCAAATGCAGTAAGCACCCCTCTTGAAGTAGGCATAAAATTAACAAAAGAAATGGAACCCAAAACAGAAACAGAAAAAGAAAACATGAAAGATAAGCCATATAGAGAGTTGGTAGGTAGCTTAGTCTATTTAGCAAATAGTACGCGCCCTGACATATCATACGCCAGTAGTGAGTTAAGCAAATATTGTGCAAACCCCGGTCTACAACATTGGAAGGCAGCTAAAAGAGTCATTAGGTATTTAAAGGGCACTAGCGATTACAAAATAGTGTACGAAAAGTCAAAGAAAAATTTGTATGCGTACGTAGACGCCGATTGGGCAGGCGATTTAGATAATAGAAGGTCGTGCTCTGGAAATGTAATAATGTTTGCAAATGGTCCCATAAGTTGGAAATCGAAAAAAACAAAAATCAGTAGCATTGTCGACCATGGAAGCGGAATACATGGCGTTATCTGAGGTAGTGAAAGAATTATTATATTTAAGAAGACTGCTTGAGCACATGACAATGAGTTGCATAAGTGAGGGACCGTCAATTGTATTTTGCGACAATCAAAGTGCCATTCAATTAACGAAGAACAATGCATACCATAGTAGGTCTAAGCATATCGATATTAGATATCATTTTTCGAGAGAAGCTTACGAAAGAGGTGAAATATTATTAAAATATGAGCGTAGCGAGTTTATGGCCGCGGATGTGTTAACTAAAGCTTTATGTAAACCAAAGCACGATTGTTGTATTAACCTTATGAAAGTTAAAAAGTAATTTAAAAATTATCTGTAAGCATTGTACCGATAGGGGGAGTGAAAGAAAGTGATACGTCACAATGCTCTATGTATGCATGAGACCGATTGCTGCCGAATTCGACCGAAGGTCGACGTTTTTTGTTCTAATCCATCATGGCAAATTTATGTAGTGCGCGTGGTTTAGTAAAGGAAAAGTTCTGTAATACGTTCAAATTAAATTAAACAACATTACTTTGGTGTGCCACGAAATTTCTATCACTATTGTTTATAAATATAATTCAAACTATATCGTGTTTGGTGTCATTGTAATCAGAAAAATCTCACAAATGCGTTAGTAAAAGTTTCACTAAGAAAAAGTTAAAAATAGAAAAGTTTTATCGTTCAATTAGTATTAGTCACACCGATATTACGGTCGGATCATATTACACGGTTTCCTCGCCGAGCGGCTCGGTTCAGCTTAGGGGGATCCCCCCAAGTGGAGGGGATAGCGATGTTGCATATATCCAGCCAAACTTTTGTTGCATATATCCAGCTTTTACTGTATTGAAACATTTGTAAACAAGTATATTAACGATTATCATGTAGGTAGAAGACGCTGGCAGAACGACACAGTTCGAGCGAGAATTAAAGGGCCCGAGAAAAAACATTTGAGTGAGACAATATTAATTCAACAATAACTCTTTTATTTTTCATTTTTGCTAAATGAAACTTTTACCAATGTAATTGTAAGGTTCTTCTGATTAAAATAAGACCAAACACCATATAATTTACATTATTTTACTTATTTAAAATTATAATTCAAATTATACCATGTCTGATCTTGTTTTAATCGAAAAATCTCACAAATACACTAGTAAGAGTTTCATTGAAAAAAAAATCAGTCATTCGTCATTACAAAGCAAGGAAGCGAAAATGCAGAATAATTACGCAAAATAAGATAAATTTTTAGTAAGGTTAACAGTTGATACTGTATTATAACAATTACTAAACTATATTTTTATTTGTTTCCTACATACATATATATATTATAGAAAGATAAAATATTCAGCAGCGTATAAGCGTGGACCAGCTGCAACAGTTGCTGGAAACCTAATGAAATATGTAGTACAAATTAACTAAAAAATCAAACTGTACTTTTCTGTCTTTCATATTAATGACTATTCACAGAATAAAATGATAATAGTTGTAACGAATAAAAAATAAAACTAACAAACCGTAAAAGATTGAAATTTCTTGATATCCTTACATTCTATCCTAACCAATTTTCCTCGTATGTCTTCGCATTTACGTATTGTAATAAATAGAATAACAGTAATATCTAATTGAAGAAATCACTTTTGTATCACGTACATACATATGTATATATACATATAAAACTTAAATATTAAAACAAATATCAATAAAGGAAGCAGTTCAACTCCTTTTTTTAACTGCTTCCCAAGTCAATGTATTTCACAGTATTAATGTATTAAAAATGTATTTTTATGTATTAAAAAAATGTTAATGCATTAAGAATCAGAACTGAAACCGTAGAATCGGGATTCGAACTGAATCTCCTGGTTTCTCACTTCTACCATAGTGCTATGGACGAAATTATATTATTTTATCGATTCGTCGATGCTGCTGCCACATGCTTAGGCGGCTTCAGCATCGAGCCGATAACGAAGAGATGACGAGAGCAGCCGAACGGAGAGCTCACACGGACACGTGGGACAACACGCTTGTGTTAGATGAAACAACTGAAGTAGGGGAGTCACTGGGACGATGTGGAGAGGGTAAAAATTTGTCCCACGTCCCACGATTCTGACATCACTGGTCCGGACCCATTTCTTTAGTCAAGCGATATATCTTGTACAGGATTGCCTCGTAATAAACAACACATTCGGGTCTGGCCACTTGCTTATTACGGATCAGGTATGCTATTCGGCTCGACTTTGTTCTCGAAACGGGACGATAAATAACACGAGAAACGAGTGAGACATCCGAGTTAGTGGCAAATCAAAGTGATCGGCCGAGCAAGGATGTTATTTTTTGAACAAGGATAGAATATAGCATGCCCTCTCATTCTCGCACTATTTCGCTTATTTCAAGGCAAATATGCTAGACTGGGAAAGCATTATATATATTCCATCCTTCTTCTACTAACCGATGTCACTGCTCAGTCAAGCGTGACAATTTATTACCCAAAACATCGGCTTCTCGCTTTCACGAACCTCTCACTCATTTCTCGGGCCTCTCACTTTGCGGGCGACTTCAAACAAAGAAGAGGGGATAGAGATTTGCTTACTTCGAGCCAAAAAACTGTTGCTTATTACGGATCAAGACTGTACTCTCGATTTCCAAAGATCAACTGTACTAGTCCTGACACTTTTCTATGCGCTAAACGGTTTAGTAGTAAATAGCTACTCCCCACTCGACTAAATTACTAGCCGTGTCTGAACCAGCCTTTATGCACAGTTATTAGTTTTTAGCTTGGCCGCTTTTGGGACCTAGCTCCGCCACAGGTCATGGAACGGATAATGGCGGCCGTTAGCAGTTCATAGGTATATATATAGTCAAAGGTACATACATAAGTACTTACATATGTTTACGTGCGTGCACGCATGTTAGCGCGAACGAACTCGACCCGAGTTCAAATTTGTTTATTAGTTACCGAGTTTCTCGTGCGTGATTAACGTGTGGCATTAAACTCGAATGAAATACATAGGTACATCCGATTTATATCTCGAACCGTGTCAACACATCCATGCATGGAAGTTTCGAGATGCGAGCTTCGAACGCTTTTCACGAACGCTTTTGTTGCATCGTGTATGTACATCGGCCATAAACGAAAACTCGTCCGAGAAATATGCTTTTTTGTGAATTCCTTTAAAGTCACTAGACGTGAGTCATTACCCACGACTTCCGCGAAATAAAAATTTAAGTTGAACTTAAAAAAAAAAAAAATACGGTATTATCCTACATTGTTTCATACATGTAGAGAACCTGGTTTCCTTCATGCACTATTTTGTTTATGCATTATTGGTTAATAAATAAGAAACGCCATTAAAAATTCTAAAACAAAAGTAACGTTAGTTCAAACATGAAATAACATAACAAAAAACTCATTTGTTTACTTTCAACCATTCAAAATATCTAAAAAGTATTTATTAATAATATATAATGTGGGGCAATATAAAACATATGTACATACGTTAGTTACCATAGTTTATAACATTATAGATTGGAAAATGTTAATTCTTTACACCATCACGTCCATTTTTACCTATAACAAAAAAGGCATTGTAAAAAAATCTTTTTCCATTTAACAGATTTTTAAGTATTGGAACGCATTTATTTTGTAAGAAAGAAATATACATAAGTACATAGGTCACAGGAAAGAATTTAATTTCCATATCATGAAGAACAGCGGATACAGAATTTCATTCAAAAAAGTAAATCGATTAAAAAATCCAGAACGGTTGCGACTTACAGAAAGACATTTTGTTAAATTTATTTAACCAACGGGGAAAAGTGGCACTTGCTACTTACATACTGCGTAGTATACTGTAAACACGGTCGTAATGGGAGAAAGGTACAAAAGGAACTCGGATATTATTGTAAATCCTGTAATGTAGAACTATGCGCCGCACCTTGTTTCATGGTATACCATACAAAAACAAATTTTTAATTCTTTTTTGATCATCATAACATTTAAAAATATTATTGTGTGTTAATGTTATAGATACATGCGATTTAAAAAATAAAATATGTTTCTTTACCTACTTGTGCTTTTTTATCTTACAAATTGACGTTTCCGTAAGAATTATATACAATTTTTAATTTTTACTAGTAAAAAAAATTGATAACTTTTGATCTAGTTTCAACGAAAAGAAATCGATCGCAAGTTTTATAACATACACTTTTTAAATATTGTAATTATCAATGCAGAATGAAACGTTTAAATATAAATAAACGTTTTTATATATTGTTAAATTATGTGTATTCTTAAAATAGTATGTAAATATTTGCAAATTTTATTACATAAACTAACTTGTTAACATTGTTTATATATATATGTATCAAAAGTCATGTATTTGTTATATTTGCAGAATGCGTCGAAGAGCCAAGTGGATGCAAAAGATGCAGAGATGGAATATGTGCAAAATGTGCAGTTCTTTTACATCAGGGAAATTGTGTAAATACTTGTCCACCAGGTCATATTGCAGATTGGTCAACTAAAGATGAATATATGGGCAGAGTTTGTAAAGAAACCAAATACGCGTTTGGTTTTACTGGTAGTCAAGTAGCCATTTTAGTAGGAATTTTTTCTGGTGCAACTATATGTATATTCATTATCCTTTGTGGAGCAATAATTATACAGAGAAGAAAAAAAAATGCTACTACATTAATTCAACACTTTGAAGATAGGTATGTCTTTAACATTACTAGTATAATTAGCAAAAATAATTACATTTCTTCTTGTGTTTTAGTATAGAGAGAAGAGAATTCTTAAAACATTTGACAATACTTAGGAAAGAAGGTAATACATTTCTTTCTATGCTCAATGATACCAGAAGACAAGTTCGAGAATTATATTATTCAAGAAACAACGGACATAGTGCTGTTGGAATACAAGCATATAGGTATAACAGCATATACATTATTTCTATTTAATATTAATTACATTTTACTTTTAATTATAATCGTGTTTTACAGACCAGTTCTGCGTGATTTGGCAAGAATATTAGTTCTTATTAACAGAAAAGATGAAAGAATACTTATTCCACCAGATGATTGGCAAAGACTTTTTTCATGGGCACACAGACTTTTAAAACAATACAAAAAGCATAGTTCTCCTGAAGTAAGTTCATTAATTAGCTTTTAAAAGAATTTATTTTAAAAACTTTGTTATTTTTAAATTTACTTTTTTTTCATGCAAGTTCATGAAACAGTTTGGTGAGTTGTACCTATTAAAAGAATAATTAATATAATCCCGGGTTAAAAAAATAATTAGTAGAATAATACATAGTAATAAAAATTAACAATAAAATATTATATGTTAAGGTGACTCAGCTTATGACATTCTTGCAACAACCAAGAGTATCTGTTCCATTAGCTTCATCGCAGCAAGTAAAAATCTCACAATCGCCTCAGCCCTATGAACACAGGAACACTCCAACTAGTTTGACTACGTTTCAAGCTAATGCACCACTCTCAACATTTCAAGCAAGCGACAAATCAAGTATTAGTCCTGTAAGCTCCAGTTTAGGATACATAAAAGATAGCCCAATGAATTCTAGTCTTGAACAAAATAGTTCTGGAATATATGATGAAAAACTTAGTCCAAATGAATCTAGTATAGAACAAACAACTCCATTAGTATATAATAATCAGGATCAAATAAAAGAACTTGCCATTTCAACTTTTAATCATACTTACAATAATGGTACTACTCTAACGGAATCTACTTGTGCAATAGATGAGTTCGAGACAAATGAACTTAATCATGAATTGAATCTTCAATGGGAATTTCAAAGCACTGCAGAAGCTACTAATTACACTATTTTATCTGATTGGTCATCTATTCATGAATATTTCATTGATGATTTTACAATTCTGGGTTTTCGCCCTCAGGATGAAATAACCACAGAACTATAAACATATTTTCTTTAGTTTTAATATAATGTGTATACAATTCTCCTGTAAAAGTAATTTTAATTTATACAAAATATAATTTTCCCTTTTCACATAATATTTAACATCAATGTATAAAAAGATCACGTATCATTATATTATTAAAATAATTTAGTTGAAATGTTTATCAGTATGTATCAGAGTAACTAAGCACACACTGCTATTTACAGATTTCAGAAGTTCTGCACACTCATATACCAAAGAACTTTAAAAAAGAGCAAAGTTTATTTTATAAGATTTGATTTATATTTTACATCTTTTTTCTAAATAACTATATAAGTATTTTCTATACTTATATAATATTCATCAGAATTCTTATTTTGAAATTTTACTCGATTATTTCTTATAAACAGAATTTTGTGTTATTAAATAATAAAAGATATTTTATTCTCTTTTTTTAATACAAGAAACTTGTATTATTAGGTTATTAAATATATTCTGTGTATATGTATTATTATTGATGTGCATATATATGCATATATATGGTAATAGGACCAATTTATATCAATTCCAAATAATTGTAATGTTATTGCTGTAATTGTTAACTTTTCACATTTTATATTTCTTTAAAAGGAACATACAGATATAGAGAGGGGCAAAAGTGAGTAGACACTGTTCAAAATAGAATACCTCAGTTAAAATTGGACTAAATAACTTGAGGTTTTTTGAGAAGCTACAAAAATCAATTCAGTAAAATATATATTTTCATCGTTTTAAAAAATTACAATTTGTTAAAATCGTAAAAAAAAAAATAGTGAATAGTAATTTTTCAACTTTTTTATGTGAGTCTATAATGAAAATTTAAAACATGTCTTTCGTAGATTCAGATAAGTTATGTGTATACTGAAAATTTCATCAGGATCGGTTAACGCATTTAAAAGTTAGAACTAATTAAAATTTCCGAAAATTGTGACTAGTTCCGTTCTTTAGATGAAAAGTCGCGATTTTCGGAAATTTTAATTACTTCTAACTTTTAAATGCGTTGACCGGTCCCGATGAAATTTTCAGTATACACATAACTTATCTGAAGCTACGAAAGACATATTTTAAATTTTCATTATAGACTCACATAAAAAAGTTGAAAAATTACCATTCACTATTTTTTTTCACGATTTCAACAAATTGTAATTTTTTAAAACGATGAAAATACATATTTTAGTGAATTAATTTTTATAGCTTCTCAAAAAACCTCAAGTTATTTAGTCCAATTTTACCCGAAGTATTCTATTTTGATGTGTCTACTCACTTTTGCCCCTCAGTGTGTATACTATATTAACTAAGCTTTCAATTAATGTATAAATTAAATAAAATACTAGTTATGTAATATAAAACGGAAATAGATATTTCAGCGAAAATCAGAAAATTAACATCGTAAAAGAATTTGTACATGGGAACAACCACTATTAGTAATATAAATCATACCGGATTGTTAGTATTTATTAAGTCCTATCTGTATATAAACATTAACTTTTGAGAAGATATATTTTTAGATGAAAGCATACTTAATGTGTTTCATTTAAGTATACATACAATGATACATTAAAAACTAAGTACCAAACTTGATTTGAAAAACTTGAAAACTAACAGAAAAACAAGGCATCCTGTGAAACGATTTTTAAACTAGACAATATCTAAATATTTTATATAAAAATGTTCACTAGATAATAAGCCTAAACATATGGCTAATAGTTAATTAATAACATAGTTGCATAGCCCTAGTGTAAATTGATAAAAGATAAAGTAACTGAAGTTTGGAATTCTATAGCAAAAAGTATGTATTATATTCAGTTTACCATTTCTGAACCTGTGTAAAAAGTATTATTTAATATAAAGACAGTGTAACAAAATAATAATCATTTAAATGACTATAATTTTGTAACAATTGTTATAATTTACTCAAATTTACATTTTTGTTACCATTAATTTATTATTTCTGGATAAAATGTGTAGTAAGACCCAGAAACTAAATTTAAAGAATATAGCCTTTATCTTTTGAAACATTGAATAGATTTCATATAAAAAAATTGTAAACTTTATACATACACAGAGTGTTTAAAAAAAGGGTTAAATAGTTTAAGAGTAGATAGTATTCAGCAGATAAAAGAAAAAAGTTTCTATGAACATGGGCCAAAAAATTAATATATTCGATGTTATAAGCAATTTCTTGTTTAAGTTGTAATGCTCAACTTTTTTGTTTTTGATAATTAATCATTATATGTAAATAATTGGATCTTTTGTATATAAGAATTTCGAAGCTCTTGAAAAATCTCTGATTTTTTCCCCATCACTTCACGAGTATTGTTTTTCATTTACGTAATTCATCTACATCAGTTATCAGTGAAGAGTATACCATATTCTTAAAGAAAGTCTTGTACAAACATCAATAGAAGAAATAGTAAGACATTCGGTTATTTACATATCATGATTGATTACCAGAAACAAAAAAGTTGAGCTCTACACTTAAACAAGAAATTGCTTATAACTTTGAATATATTAATTTTTTGGCCCATGTTCATGCAAACTTTTTTCTTCTATTTGCCGAGTACTACCTACCCTTAAAATATTTAACCCTTTTTTAAATTTCTGTATATATATGTACATATATACGTTAATATGTGTTTGTTTACGCACATATGGGTAAGCCTGTGCGTGCGTGTATAAAGTGAAAGCTTATTAATGTATTATATATTTTCATTACAAGAATCTCGTTCTGCTTCTCTCAAAGAAACATAAACTACATAAATAACTGATAGAATGTAAAAATACTTTTATGCCTTACTATTTCTGTTTACAAAATCTTTTTGATTTCACTGTGGAAGATATTTAATAATTATTATTATGTAATTTATTACATTAGTCAATACTTCACTCATTTAAAAATACGAATTAAGTTATAAATATATAATACTACTATGTGTTCAAAACAAAAAAGGAATTCCAAATCTCTATAATTTTTTATTAACTACCAAACAAATAGTTGCAAAATATTTTCAAAATGTTAATAATAATGTTGAATTTTAAGTATAAATATATATAAATGTTAACGTTTTATCAATAAATACTAATATGTTCAAGTGAATACAGATGTGTGAAATTACTAGTAAAATTTACCTCCTTTTTATATTTTCAACATTTAAATTTTTAAATATCATACTTTTCTGTAGCGTTAAATCACAATAAATAACTTAGTTTCAAAAAACATTGCTTCTTTCACAACGTGTATTACATAATACTATTATAGAAATTAATATAATTGTATTCTGTAATAATTTTATCTAAAGCCATTACCAAATTAAAAAGAAATTAAATAAGGTAAAAATACTGAAAATGTATGTTATTTGTAAAGTATTATATTAAATAAGTAATTATATTTGATACATTTCCAAAATAAACTCAAAAAATTGTATAAAGATGTATATTTTTAATTTGATCTACAACATTATAAGCATAATGCGAAAAGATACTATTTACATATTTTTAAATTGGCGGTTTTTTAAATAGGAAGTGATGGAATGGCGTGCGCACTCAGATACTGCGTGCGCATACTGAATGATTAATAAAACACTTGATGAATTTCATTTTATTATGCTACAAAATCAATAGTTTATTTCTAAAAAATTTTATTAAAAATTTGTTTTCAATTGCGATATGCTTATTTATCTAGTGATTTTTACGTAAGAAGTAATAAAAAGGTGAACGATTAAATGATATACTTAACGCGTAAGTTCCTGCAGGGTGGGCGAAGGACGCCATGACAGTCGTATTTTCTGTTAACTGCGAGCACGTAAGCTCTTGCTCGCATTTCTGTGAAATTCTTGTACAACTTGGTATTTATTTAGATAAAAATTGGCAATTCCGTTTTATGAATTTGCCAAACTTTCCTTCGAGTATATTTTGATGGCGGAAGGCAAGAGAGCGTGGCCATTATCAACGATTTGCTTGTGGGTACCCATGGCGAGGTGAGACGTCGAGAGGTGGCGAAAGGCGTCCCCCCTTGCGTCGGGACGCGCATCTCCCTCTGTACGAGACGACTTAGGGCCGACGAAGTGAGATGCCAGAACCGCCAACGGCACTATACACCATGTGAGTCCATCCTGCGAGTTCTGTCGATTATCGTTTTGGCCCTCTCGGAACATTTTTCATAAATCCTCCTGCCTCGAATCCTGAGAAACCTCCATCTTGTAAGCCCCTTGTCCTCGTTCAACGAGTCACGATAATTGACGCGTCATATGTCTGAGACACCAGAAGATGGTGCCCGTGAACCCTCTTTTAAGTACGAGGGGATCTGCGGCGAATCCTGGCAAATATGGAAATACAGCTACGTACTTATTAGAGCCGCTGGTACGCTACTATTTTAGTATTTTACTATTACCCTTTGTTGCCTTCGAAAGATAATATCGGATGACTCACCTTTCCCGCTCACTTGACAAAAACGCTTTTAAATACCGTGAGGTTACATTAACTATTTTCTTTTTTCTTACATATCAATACTTTTCTTTGTCACATTAACCTGTCATATGAGTATTATGTAATAAATGTCCACCCAATAAAGCTCATTATATTCAGCAACAATTATTTTGCTTGTTAATGTTGGGCCGATTGATTTCGAAATTTAGACACTAGATGTGTTTTATTAGTTAATCTCAATGATGTAAAGGACAAAGTGATTACTTTAGTAATCACTCATTATATTTCTTTTTTAATAATTATAATATTTTGGATCATTTTTTATACCTAACAACTAACAAAAAATAGCATTATATCTTCTATAAATTGATACAAATAAATTCTGATGTATCTGTAAGTTTTATATTAATACTAATTAAATTATTTTGCAGGATGAGAAATAAAATATATTACGAACATTTAGTTAATATCCAATGAACAAAGATGAACAGTGACCAACATGCATTGCCAGCGACTACGCAGGCACAACAAGAGGTAAGAACATTTTGAATAAAAACAGGCCTTTGCCAAGCTACAAATGCGCAACAAATATTTAATTATTCATTATTTAAACATATCTTGAAATAAGGTAAAGTTAATATGTAATTACCTATTTCTTTGTTACACGCTACCTTATTAAATATAATTTATATTTAATATTATTTCAAAGGATTTAAATTGCAGCTAATATCCTTGAGGTTTTTAAGTGTATGCATGAGTCTTAACTCAAGAGATCAGCTGATCAATTAAAAACATTGGTTAGTTGTTCAATGATTTGAAATATAAACATGAATAATGCTGCCAAAATATTGGAAATATATTCTTGTTGGACATAGCTTATACTCAAAAGCCTCAGTAATATTAACTGTAACAAATCAAGCTATGAAAGTCTTGAAACTATTATTTTAGTTGTATTTTTTACCAAATACAACTTGTACTTTTTTAATCAACATTTAATTATTTGTTGTATATTATAGAATGCTCAGAATAACGGTTTATACAAATTATCAGAGATGAGTGATAATCTGGTAAAAAAAAATTCCACAAGAAGCTTCATCTATTTTGAAAAGATAACAGATTCTTGAACTGCATTATTTAACATCATAAGAAATGTCAGAAGAAATTCATTTAAAAAGACATTTTGATGAAACGTGTATACTACAAATAAAAATTTTAACATCTGACCACAATTGATTCATAACAATAGATGCAGTATGTAAAGCCTAAAATTGTATAGTCGTAATATATCGCATTTTTAAGAATTCAGTAATTCTGTTTTTCTTAACAGATAAAGCTTTATGAAGTAGGATTTTTTTCTCCTGTACTGTAATCTCTTATGGGTTTACCCAAATCAGACGTAGCATGTTAAGTACTATTTTCACTTCTTCACAAAGATAGCTTCCCAATTGGCTGGTTTAAATTTTAATAAGTTTTTACATCTTGATAGCTTGTTATTATAAATTAATGATCTTTAAATACACTCTCCTCCATTAATCATCAATCAGTTTACTATTTTAGAATAAATCTGGACGGCGTTATAGATTTAGATACTTATTTCAGACACTATATTGGCAATGTGTAGGAAAACGACTACAAGTATACCACTAGAAAATATAGCAATTATTTAGAACAGTTGCAACAAAATAGAGAGCTAAAATTAAAGCAACGTACATAATCATGAAATTATAAGACTCACATTCAAAGGCAGTTGCTAGCATAGAGTAGATAAACTCTCTCTGTTCTTTAACTTAAACCATATATAACAAGATTCATTATAACATAATCTACCAACATACAGAAGTGTACTAAAATCTGAATCAGTTATTTAAAAAGTTCTCTGAAAGTAGCCATGTACCCCTTAAGGTATGTTTTGAGAAACATTGTTCTAAAGAATTCACTTGAACTTTTTTTAATATTGTAAATGTATCTTTTATAAACGAATATTTTCCATCGTAATGTATAAGATACACAAAATGCTATTAGATCATATCAAATATATTTAAAGATATAAAACCCTATATCCTATACATATTGTATATATGTATACTCCTATATAAAATATATATTCTATACTTGTACTTTATATATTTTATATAATAAAAGTAAAAATATTTAAAAAAAAGTAGATACTCCTATTTACCTCATAAAAACGAAGGTTATGGTACACCGTTGATATTTTATCTACTATATACACGAAAAATTTTAGTGAATTGTAAGAATTAAAAAATATATATATATAAATTTTTGCTTAAATAGTTTTATATGTAACAAAGAATATTCTTCTGTAAATAACGCAATGCATTTATGACATTCGAGAATATTATAATACTATAAGTTGTTCGCATTACATATATTTTGTATAAATGTAAATGAATTTTCTTTTTTGAATGAATTTGGATACGATGTTGTTTATTCTCAATAATTTATAAACGTTAATAGTTAACAATATTTGCATGCATTTTATAAGACGTTATTTATAATTGAAAAGGTAGCGCATTTGTTGCTTGTACTTGAGCCTGGTGCATGTTATTGCATGCCCTATAAATGTTGTACAAATGTCTGAATGTATATCGGTAGGATGTAAACGCGGGTCAAAGTGGTCGTCCTTCATACCCAGGTGGTTTGACTACAGCAACCAGTCTTGGCAATGTAGGCAGTACCCCGCATTCATCCGCGGACCTGCGTGTAGGTACAGCTGTAGCGTTAGCCTCCTCGGTAGCTAAATATTGGGTCCTCACGAATCTATTTCCTGGACCGCTACCTCAGGTCTCAGTCTATCATCATTCCCATCACAACTCCTCGCATAGGAGTAGTGGGGGTGGAGAGGCATCTTCCAAAGAACCAGCCTCCTTGTTGAATCAAGAAATGGCGTTGACTTCTAGCTCTCATCATCAGTCAACACCTACGCATCATCAACATCAACCTTCAGTTAGCAGTAGCAACCATCATAGTTCTTTACAACCAAACCCACAGGTTTGTTTATTTAGAAGTATGCAATAATTAATGAATTACTGTGTAGTTTCTAAAAAGAATACCAGGTTTAGTATCTGCATTCGCAGGTTTCATGGTAATATACTGTATTCATATGAGTGTGAGTAGTAGGTAGTTGAATTATATACTATAATAAAACATATGGAATGCTTGAAATCTTACATTTGCAAATCAAAATGTGGCTTTTATCAAAGTTTGTTTCTGTTTTAGTTTTTCCTTTAATTGCATCTGATCGTATACTAGTTGTATATTTTATGATAAAAACTAAACAACGTTTAAAGTTGGGATTCACTTGATTAAACCTGTGTTACAGTAATACTGTGTTTTCGTTTTTCAACAGATACCAGTTTCTCTGCCAGGCCTTAATTTAGATGGAGCACACATACCTGCCAGTGTCAGTCATCTACAAGCAGCACATGCACAAATGCAACAACAAATGCAAGCAGCACAACAGCAACAACAACAGCTGCATCAGCAGCAACAGCAGCAACCACAACAGCAACAACAATCTCATCATCAAATACAAAATCATCAAAATGCTCAGAATAGTGGACCAACTGCGCATAATCAAAACGCACAGAGAGATGACAACAAAGTAAAAGATGAAGGTGGAAGTTGCACAACTGAACGTTGCAGTGATAATCAGGTTCACTGTCAAGTTCAATGTGATCTTCAGTTACAAACATCCCAAGACTTGCAACAAAGCCTTATGCAACAACAACAACAACAACAGCAACAACAACAACAAATTGGTGTAAACATAAGTGGGAATTCCTCAACAGAAGGGGGAGGTCAAAATAATACAGAAAAATCCGAAAAGGAGAAAGAGCTACGTCAACTAAATATGACACAGTATGTTTACATAGTTTATTTCTTTGTAATATAATTTTCGCAATATGGTGTATGTAATTACAATTTTTGTGTAGATTTCAAGTACCAGATTTAAAACCAGGAGGTCACATGATGGATGTACGAACAGCTGATGGTTCAGTTGTGAAAATCAGTGCTGGAAATGAACAAGATTTGGCAAAAACTCTTGGTGTTGAAATGGTCCAAAATATGTACAAGGTAAGTGATACAGTGATACATTTATAAGCATATTTTATGGAATATGCAACGTTTAATTGTTGTCATTTTTTCTAGGTTAATGTCGAAGACATTAATCAACTTTTAGCATATCATGAAGTGTTTGGGAAGTTACAAAGCGAAATAGCAGCAGGTACTACCTTGGTTGGAAGCACAGTTCCTACGCAAACAGTTACCACTATACAAAATGGGACACCAATTGTGCAACAAGTTCAGTTAAATAAGTTTGATATTAAATCAAGCGATGGGGAAGCTACACCAGGGCCAAGTGCGTCACCAGTGTCAGTTGGAAGCCATGCCTGTGAAATATGTGGAAAGATTTTTCAGTTTCGTTATCAACTTATCGTACATCGTAGATATCATATAGAAAGAAAACCTTTTACTTGTCAGGTACGTAACAACAGATGCATGAAAAGTAATAACATTTGTCATTCTTTAACATTATTGTTTTCATATATCACATTTAAAATGTTTCTAAATTTTTAGGTGTGTGGCAAGGCTTTTCTAAATGCAAATGATTTGACACGTCATGGAAAATGTCATTTAGGAGGATCTATGTTCACTTGTACAGTGTGCTTTCACGTGTTTGCGAATGCACCGTCACTAGAACGTCATATGAAGCGTCATGCTACTGATAAGCCATATAATTGTACTGTATGTGGAAAAAGCTTTGCGAGAAAAGAACATTTGGATAATCATACTCGTTGTCATACTGGAGAAACACCTTACAGGTAAATTTACTTATTTTTCACCAACAGTAATTCAGAATTTAATATTTTTTTGTTGTTGAATATAGTAGTAAAGCTGATTGTTGAAATACAAGTTTCAGACCATGTATCTTTTAAGTATTTTCAGCGTTTATGAGGGATACGAATTTCTATAACAGAGTAGTATTTGTAGCGTCCATATGAATAACTGTTTATGCATTTGACAATTTATTTACACAAATATTGATATAGGTGTCTGAAGTTTTTTCTTTTCTTTATACTAGTAAAAAATTAATTCGGAAATGTTTATACTTCATTTTTTTTAATCTCATAAAGAAAAGTTGTGGCCTTTTTTTAATTGTGATTGGACACGCATCTTTTTTTCTAACAGAAAAACCACCTCACATTTAATGAGTTTTTGCAAGCTGTTAGATTATATAGTTTGAATATCCATAATTCACAAATAAGAAATCGTAAGGAAATGTAACTATGATTTCATGTACTGATATGTACAAAACGTGGAATGAGGATAAGACAATGAATTCGTCAAAATTATTGTTACATATCATTTAAATACATTTAGGTATATCCAAATACATTCTGATTGATAAGTTTGAAACGAGCATTTCAAATCTTTAGAAAGTAGGGGTTGCTGCAGCAATAGAAATACTGAGGTGATTCAAGATGGTTAAGAAACAGAAGTAGAACGTGTAAAAACACAACAGAATTTATTAAGAAAATAGGCAGAATATTACATTATTGTAATTGTCGTTACATTAATAATAATTCCAAGAAGAGGTCTTTATCTGAAAGAGATACCAATGTTTATAACACGCTAGTAGAATTAGAAGAATGGTCAACAAAGTGGAGTTTACAGCCTTATAAACTAGAAGAAACTAAATATTCAAGATAAGGAGAAGTTACACAAATGTTTTGTTTTAAAGGCCCGGTTAATCAATAATGCTCCGCGCATTTATATAGGGTCTTAGGTTGGGTAGTACAATTGGGCAGTATATGATTTTATAAATAAAATAAGTCGAAAAAAGAATCAATTTATTCGGTTTGAGATTTTCGAGAAAATGGGATTTGAAAATTCTATCTTAAAGCAAAATTTTATTTCTTGATTGCATTGATCATGTTAAAGTTTGTATTATTTCAAAAAGAAATTTCAATAATTAAAATAAATTTTTAAGTGTGTAAGTATGTTAAATTTGTTAGAAAAAGAGAAAGAAAAATGTTTGAACAACATGTTTCGTATTATAAAGTAAGTTATATAGAGTGCCCCAGAAAGAGTGATAATTTATTGGAAAGGTGATTGCTGAGATGATTCTGAACAACTTTTTCCTTCGCCAACAACGAAACCTTAACCAACATTTTGGCAAAGGAAAAAGTTGTTGATAATCACATCAAAAACTATCCCCCCAAGTGATTATAACTCTTTCTGGGACACCATGTATATTATCCATTAACCGTTGAACTAAAATTAAATGTCTAATTTTTAAACGAAAGGGTTTCATATATTGGAAGAATAATTTTTTTAAAAACAGTGAAAAATTTAGAAAATGAAAATAATATGAAATACAAAATTACATGAAAATTGTGACTCTCTTCGTGGTCCGCCATCCGATAGTTAAAGGTGAACATGTTACTAGGCAGTTCTAACCAGTAGAATTATATGCGATTCTCAACATTTACTTGAAACCATTTAAAACTCATTTTTTTCAGCATTAACTTTACAATTATTTTTCATTATATTTAAATCACATTGTTTATCCACTTTATCGTTGATAAGTTTTAATTTACCAAATTATTGGTACATATTTATTCTTAATATTCTTAAGAATTATTCTTAATTTTTCTGAGATTTCGTCTACATAAAGTACTTTATGACGTGTACGACACTGGATGTAATTACATAAATGGGTGTCTGTTTCACGCTTTAATTTACGATTACACTACATCTCTCAGATTTAGTATTTCTGCTACACTTCTGTTGGTGATTTTGTGCTATATTGATGTGGGTGTTATTTTGGAGAGAAATCCACCATGCAACATCATATTCACAAACGCTTTGGTGACGTTTTTCATCTTCTACGAATATTCCTTCATCCTTGTTTTGTTATTTGTATCTTATTGTACATACATATGATGTACTGCACGTTGCTGGAAATAAATCTCGCAGGGCAAGGAGGGTATTTTGCACACACGATTCGACTCTCTAGTCTTACGCGGGCATGCGACGTGGAGGGTGGAGCACTACCAATCAGACTCACATTCCATACGGGGAACTTTTTCTCAGCAACACAGTAACTGTGTGGCTGCGCCTTTCAGTGCACAAGACCTTTATTCACTACAAACTAAAGGAATTTCATGCCTATGGGAGGAAGGGTTCACTGGGAGGTAGGACCACTTTCTCCTTTACAGGTGGAAACCTCGGCAGTCAATCGGTCCTTTCTAGGTTTAAACCCCCTATGTTTGGGGGAAGATGTATCCTCATATTACTCCAACATTTTAACGAGAGGACGTAAGTAGGAGTACAGGCTGACCGATAGTGGGAAGACGGGGTATCTTGATAATGGGGAGCGTGTAGGTGGTGACGGAACGCACCATGCCTGCTTCACGTCAACACTGTTCTGTCTTTACCCCTATGTAGTTTTACGATTGTTCCTACTGGGTTTGCTAGAAAACGATATAACGAAAGCGATAAAAAATTATAGTAATACTTATAAGAAACGATGAAATATATTTCTTTACGTGACAATCTCCTAAGAAAAATGAAAATGCTATTTTTTTTATAACGCGCGTTGTTATATTACTCTATCCTGGAATGAAATGTTTTCATGTGCATCAAGTTTTTACTTTACAGTGTTCTAAATTAAGTATATTCTTCTCTTTCATGAAAAGAAGAATAGATGAGGATGGCCTGTTCGAATAAAAAAGTGAGTGAAAACTTTTCATTATTTAAAAAAATATTGCGCTTCAGTTTTTGAGATTCTGTTCGGAACATTTAATCTATGGAGTTTTCTTCTAAATTAAATTTAGAAAAATTTTCATTGTATTACGATGAAAGGGTTTAATGACATTACGTTATTTTCAATGAGGAAGAAATGTATGTAGGATGGAAAATAGAGAAAAAATAAGATGAGGAGGGAACTAACGAATTGGAGAAATGGCAGAAGTAGCGAGAAAAGAACAAAGAACTATGTAAGGTTAAAAAAATGGGGCAAACCCAGAAATTTAAAGACAACTGAAAAGAGCTAGAATAGAGAAGACGGGCAGGAAGAGATTGAATGAAAGTATAAAAGTGGACAAATAGAAAGATTATTCAATGAGATTGCGAGTTGAGGTAGAAGGTAAAGTAGTAAAACAGTGAAAACTGACTTCTGAGTGGAAAATTAATACAAGAAGAATCCTCTTTTTTCATTGTCTCTTATAGTCTATGACTTATTGGATGGAGTACATACACGAAAAAAAAAAATTAATAATTTAGTGCTTTGCACTAAGTTAAGGCGGCGCGATATAGCGGTTACGTAACAAGTCACAAGGGGGACATTGACCCCCTGATTTCGGGTGGAAGGAGTGGTCCTAGAGGCCTGAAAATATGGAGAAGCTTCCGGTAATCAACCCTTCTGCGTCCATAGGTGAAGGTCCCAAGTCGATACCTCTTGCCATTTGACCGCGCCGCCAAAAAAGAACAGAGAAATTGAAGGAGAAGATGACCGTACGGTGGAACGTGATTAACAATAAAATTTAGAAATATGAAGAGATAGGACTATAAAAGGTAAATGTCTACAATTAGGGCCCCAACGAGAAATCAATTGAAAAGAGGTAAATTCTATATATTTTTGCCCACCGAATCCAAAACTGTTGATAAAATTTGGGGGTCGCTTGTATTTACTAAGATATTATGGTAAATATTGACATAAAATCATTATTTCCAAAGGTTAATGACTTTGTGGGGTGGATAATACTTTTAAAGCGCGTCACTAACTTACATAGGTTAGGTTAGGTTATCAGAAAAAATATAACTTACTTCACGGCAAAAACTTAACCAGTCAACAATAGTCTCCTGGCTCAGTTCTAATTCCTGTTCATAGAATGCACAGCGTGGAGGACGTATCATGAGAAAATATCCAATAAAACGGGCAATCGACGTGATATCAAGATTAGAATTGGCAAGTCTCGTACGACTTTTAACACTTCGTTTAAATTCACGCTTTGAAGTTATTATTTTCAAGGAGACTATTGTTGACTGGTCAAGTTTTTGCCGTGAGTTAAATTATATTTTTTTTTATATTCTAACCTAACCTATGTATCTTAAAAAATACAAACGACCCCTAAATTTGATCAACAGTTTTGGATTCGAGGGGCAAAAATACATAGAATTTACCTCTTTTCAATTGATTTCTCGTTGGAGCTCTAATTGTAGACATTTACCCTATGAAAATTGGAAAGATGTAGAAGAAAATATGGAAAGGAAAAAATTGGTGTTAGAAGAGTGGAAAATGGAAAATGGATGAAGAAGAAAAAGAAATTATGAACGGCGTAGCAAGCGGGGGAAGGGATGACATTAATCCTATCCCTGTATAAAGTGTAAGTCCCGATCATGTCTCATGAGACAGGAAATGAAGAGAAGAGGGTATTCATCGCATTGACTTTAGAAGAATTGAGAGAATAACGAACGAATGAAGGATACTTTGCGAATTACCTCATGGGATGAGGTAATTTAGTAATACCTAATGCTGATAGTATGTTGTTCATAGATTTAAATGCTCTGCTCAACTCAGCGATAACGAAGAAGTTTTAGGAAGCGATGAAGAATATGCATTCTGTAGGAGAGGGGAGAAAAAGGCGTTTTGTCTTGGGATCGTCTGTCAGACTCGTCAGTGGGGCTAACAACAGACGATCCTTACCCCAGACATTCGTCATACCGTAATTCGGAACTCCTATATATTCGAACTGCATTCCGAGCAATCGCCAGCAAGAACACTGATCCACCGATCATCTTGCCGCCACCTAGCGAT